CACATGCCCAGTTTGGAGGGTATGCAAGAGGCAACCCATGGATTCACATTGATGTTTCTCTCTTCCTCTCCCCCCACCTCTCTCTCAATACAATAAAAACATATTTTTTTAAAAAAGATACTGGGACACCGATGTCACATCTGTGAGCCCTGATTCCTCATCTGTAAAATGGGGAGAGTACTCACCTTGTAGGGCTGTTGGGAACTCACTCCGACATTAGAGGGAAGCTTGTAGCATAGACGGGTGTGGGGAAAGCGCTCTACAAAACCCACTACCTTGGTCCTTACTGCGATGGCACCCCCATGCCTTCCGGGTGAATCCCTACACACCTGGACCCTCGGGAAGGACAGAAGCACTGGCTCTCTCACTCGGCCTGTCCCATTCCACCCCTAGCTCAGCTCAGCTCCCTGCCCTTGACAGAGGCCCTCACAAGTCTCTGGGGGCGGGGGGTGGGGGCAGACTGGAGAGACTTGGGGTGAGCAGGCTGGGGAAAGGGATGTGGTGGGAGCCTGGGAGATGCAAGCAGCCACCTGGGGTGGCTTTTCCAGCCTGGGGCCCACACCTGCTGCAGCCTGCAGACCTCCTGTCTCCAGACCCCCACATCTCCACCCTCCGCTGAACCACTTACGGAGATTAATTTGTCTGCGGACTGAACGGCAGCCCTAATCCCTTAACCTGCTTAGCGTCTGGGCTCAGCCTGGCATCGATCACTGTGGGGAGGCTCTGGAGGTGGCATGACGGAAACGCCATCCTAAGAGGGGCTGTCTCTGGCCCACGGCCCGAAAGGACACTGTGGGGGCAGGAGGGGAGTCACTCCTGGCACCCGGCTGGGGTCTGAGTGTCGGCTGGGGTCAAGTGTTGTTAGGGGTCCCACCTGCACCTCCTCTCCAGGGACCAATTGTCTGAAGTTGCCCCCTGCTGCAGGAGGAAGCCTGCTTTTATTCTGTTTGAGAGCACACAGCATGACCCCCCTTCCTGCTGCGGGAGCCCAGGGGTCTCTCGGCTCCTCATCTAAGGAAACTCACGCAGCCGAGCCTCTAATTAACTAGGGAATCTGGCTCTCCCTTGCACACAAAGGGATAATTCTGGGCACCGCGTGGCCCTCCTGCCCATTCCTGTAGCCTCGATGCTCAGATGGGTCCGGCTTCTAGTTGGCCATTCGAGGAGGCAGGAGCAGGCACCTGAGGCAGACAGAGCCGGCACCGGCTTCACGTGGGTTCCGGGCAGGCCTGGCACCCATCCTGACACTTCCGCTTCCTAGCTGTGACACTGACCTCGGACAAGCCGTGTAACCTCAGCATACCTCACTTCCTTCTCCTGTTTTGTGGGGACAGAGCAGCACCTACCTCAGAGTTGCTGTGAGGCTTAAATGAGCACATATGCATCACAGCGTCTTGTATACCTGCACTCAGTCAGTCACAGCCAGGAAAGGCCAGAGCTGAAGGTGAGCTTACTGAGCACCTGCTCAGTTCTGACCTTCACACCCAAGGTCAGGCAGACACAGTGGGGCCAGAGAGCGCCGCAGTGTCCCAGGGACGAACACCCTGGGCTACTTCGCATGCTGAGAGGAGAGTGACAGCAAAGATGTTGGGTTCGTGGGTCAAAGGAACACCCATATTCCAATCCTTGCTTTCCCGCTTCTGTGTGTGTGTGAGGGGGGGGGGGGGTGTGGGGGGGGGGGGGGGGGGCTACGGCAAGTGATGTCATCTTTCTAAACTGCTGTTTTCTCATCTGTGAAGTGGGCACAATACAATTAAGCTATTGCACGCTAGAAGTCACATCGCCCACCTTTGATGCACCCCGATAAATGTTAGCTGTTACGATTTATTACGCGGCTTTCTCTCGATAAGTCTTAGCTGCCATCCTCAGCATTGCCTTCTGTTTGGGACATTACAACATGAATCTCAATTTGCATCAGCGTGTTCATTCTGACCCCATGCAGAATGGGAGTCAGATCACATTCCCTGGCTGCAAACACTCACATGGATGCCCACTGCAATTAGGATAAAACCCAAACTCCTTCCCACAGGCCCCCAGGCCTTCCGGGACCAGAATCCCCCTGCATCTCCAGCCCTGCTGGTGACCCCGATGCCTGGCTCCTCCTGCAGACCCCTTGCTCTGAACTCAGAGACTTGCTCTTGCTTCCCCCAAGGCTGGCTCGTTCCCCCTGTGGAAGTCCTGGTTCAAGGCCACCCTCCTTCACAACCCAACCTGAAGGCCTCCATCACATCCCCTAGTGTAATTTCCTCCCGGTGCTTTTACTGGCCTGGTTGTACAGTACCCGCCTGGGCCTTCATTTGCACAGACGCTTTATGGGAGCAGGGACCTGTCTGTCCTGAATACTGTGTCCCTGTGACTAGCCCAGTGCCTGGCGCATGGCACCTCTGCTGAATGAATGGATGAGCCATGTGCATCCATTCGCACGGGACTGGCATTTCATTTCAGTATGTACTTAATGATAATTACCTGCTGAATGAATGAATCCACCACGGAAAAACCCTTAGCCCAAGCCGTAGAACATGTAAGTACACTCTACTGAATAAATAGATAAATCCATAAACCCTATGGTATGATAATGATCATGATTATCATTGCGGTCCGTGCCCAGGCCTGAGCACAGTTCCCCCCTCCCTCCCTCCTGGAGGCTCCTACCCTCCCTCTGTGGTTGTGTTCTCTACCTTGGCCCAGCTGCTTGCCCTCCATTCCGGGTTCCTCCAGCTGGTACCTCTCTCGGCTGCCACTGCCAAGGCTCAGTTCACAAAGAGTGGCACTCACCTCCGGATCTTCAAACTCCAGGGGGCTCAGGAAGGCGTCTCCAGCCAGGAGGGGGTCATCGATGAGAGGGGAGCAGGGCGGGGACGGCGAGGAGAGGGAGGAGCGTGGAGACAGAGAAGTCATGGACTTCGGGGTGCCGGTCAGGGAGCGCAGGGCCTGCAGGCGGCTGCCCCCCTCAGCCCTCTGGGTCTTGGCCACCTCGTCTTCGTGGATGGTGGTGATGTAGCCCGAGGGCCGGACGCCCGTGGCCCCCTCCAGGAGCAGGAACTCCACCTTGCTCCGCAATTCCGAGTCCAGCTGCTCAAAGGGGTCATAGTTGAGGTCAGTGAAGCTGGCGGAGGCGGAGGAGTCCAGGCTGGAGGCAGCCAGGGAGGCCGGGCTGGACGTGAGGGACCCAGGGCTGCTGCCGGACGACAGGGACTGCATGCTGCTCGAGAGGCTTTTCAGCTGGGAATGCAGAGCTGCCACCTGCTGGGTGGCTTCCTCCAGTTCTCTCACCAGCTGGTTCCTCTTACTGTTTAACTTCAACCTCTCGGTCAGCGCCTTGCTCTGGGTGTCCCCGGCTGCCTGCAGGTCCTTCTCCAGCCGCTTGCGGGCCATCTCCAGCGGCTCCACCTCGCCCTGCATCCACTTCCGGGGGCTGATGAAGCGCATCTCCTTCAGCAGCTCCTCTTTCTCGCTGATGAGGATCAGCCGGTCCCTCTCCGAGTCCGCACTCCAGGCCAGGCCTCACTGTCCAGCGTGGCCAGCTGGATCTTCAGGTTGGCGATCCTCCCTTAGCCTCTTCGTACCGAAGGCGCAATCGGATCTTCTCTGCCAACTGATTGTGGCTTCTGGTGCCGACACTCCCCGAGATGTCCGTCTGGGAGCTCATGTCCAGGTACTGCTTCGCCAGCGGGAAACCCGAACTCTCTAGAGAGCTGCTGCTGGACCACAGGTCAGAGTGGGACCCTCTGTCAGTCCAGAAGCCGTCCTTCAGCATTGCAAGGCTCTTTTTAAAAATATATATATTTTATTGATTTTTTACAGAGAGGAAGGAAGAGGGATAGAGAGTTAGAAATCTCCATCAGCCACCTCCTGCACACTCCCTACTGGGGATGTGCCTGAAACCAAGGTACATGCCCTTGACCGGAATCAAACCTGGGACCCTTGAGTCCGCAGGCCGACACTCTATCCACTGAGCCAAACCAGCCAGGGCACATTGCAAGGCTCTTAATGAGATCTTGCTTTTCCTTTTCTCCACAGGTGATGGCCTTTTTGATGGCTTTCGTTTCTCTCAAGACAGCCTGAGCTTCATCCAGTTTGTAGCTGCCCTGAGCGTCAGACATTTTCTTGTCGATTTTCTGCAGGGTCCGGAAGCCATGCTCTTTGAACTGCAGCTCCTGCTGGAGGTGAACCATCTCCCTCTTCAGCTCGTTGACCCGGGATTTTGCAGCGGCAACTTCAGCTTTCAGGATCTCAGGGTCATACTGAGAGCTGGACGACGCACCAGAGACCAAGCTGACCTGGGAGCCCAGCTTGTGCTCCCAGACGGCATGCAGCTGCTGATACTCCTGCTGTGCAAGCTCCAGACGCTGCCGTTTCACCTGGTAGATCTCCTTCTGTGCACTCAGGGCCTCCTGGGCCACCACCAGGTAATCCTTCAGCGTGTGCTCCTGCTCCTGCCGCCATGGTACCCGGGGGTCCTCAATCTGCGTGGTTTTGGTGTTCTGGTCTATGAAGTAATCTCCAACCTGTGGGTCATACGCCTCTTCCCATCCTAGAGGCAGCTCATCGCTAATGCAGTCGGCGAAGGTGAGCGGTTTGGTGTACCTGTCCCGCGGGTCGATCCAGCTGGTGGTGCAGCTCGTGTGTTCTATGTAGTAGACCTTGCCTCCTCCCAGCCCTCCGACAGGGGCAGCTCCGGCCGGGGCATCTTCCCAAGAGCGGCCCACG